TTGTTTCGTTATTTACTTGTTAACTTTTCGTTCTTACTTCATTTTACCTTGTTTCATTATTTACTTGTTTAACTTTTTCTTTTTCAACTTATTTATAAAACAATAAACCAGTTGAATTTATCCTTTGAGTATTTTTCATCTCATCTTTTCATCTATAACTTTTTCAAACATTCATATCTGTCATTTATCTTCCTCTTGAAACCTCATAAATGGTGAAGGAAAAATCCTGGAACATGGTTCCAGGAAAAAGATAATTCAAAACGGATAATTTAAATATGATTAATCTGTTTGGAAATCTGCAGGTAAACTGTCTGTCTGAGAAATTGATCAAATTAGAAGAGAGGTCAGCTGGATATTTAGATGTCACTCCTCTTATGCAAATTAATCAAATTCCTAAAGTGTAGTATTGCTGATTTTGAATAAGACCTTGAAGGACAGAAGACACATTTTCCTGGTAAAATGATGGCTGTAAAATTGGTGAAAGGGAGCCTACCAACTGGTCTGCTTCTCCCACCCAGTTTGTCATGGTCCATGGGTCTTTGATCCAAGGTTTTGAGTCTTTGAGTTGAGGATTCATTCTAGTTTTGAATTTTAGGTTCTTTGGATTAGGTTTCTGTCGTGTTAATGTTTTGTTTTCTATTCACAAGGTTGTTTTTAATACATCTTGTTAATTTTCTGATGCTTTGTATAAGTTCTTTATGGTTTACTTTCTAGCCTTATTTGTGCCTTCAGTTTCTGTTCACTTTAGTCATGTATTTAGTGAGTCTCCCTTTGTGTTTCTGTTCTGGCCCTCCTTCTGTCTCGTCTGTTTGTCTTTATCTTTCAATGTTTCTTCATCTCTGTCTCAATGTCTCACGTTCAGTCCGTCTTCTTGTCTGTTTTCTTTACTTACTTCCTGTCTTTAATTTGAAACGTTCAGTTTCCCTTCATGTCTTGCGCAGCTTTTCTTCCTGTCCTGGGCCCTCACTGGTTCCCTGATTGTCTTCATTTCCTCTATCCTCACTACCTCTTGTGTATGTACTTTCTCAGTCCTTCTTTGTCATTTGTCGTGTTGTCCATGACCATATCTGTGTGCCATGTAGCTCTGATTTCCATGTGCTGTCTGAATAAGTAATCCTAGTGTTTCTTGGATACTTGTATTCCCTGGCTGTTCTGAGAACTTTGCTATTTTAATTGAATTAGCATTAAATACTCACCGTATGTTCGACTTTTGTCTTCTAAATATTGCATTTAGAAATGCAACCTCTTAGACACAATGATCCATAAGACTGTTGGTTAATTAGTCCAACACTCTAATGAGGGAATTTGTGATAAACCAAAACTGTATGAAAACAGTCATCTCACCACCAAAGCTATCAATTTGATGTGAGAAAAGTCTCTTTACGACAAAAGACGTGGGACAAGATATGCCAACTAGATAAGCAGGAATGGATGCAATTTACTGAACGTATTCATACAATGACACTAAGTGTGGTGTGTTACTGCATGAGATGAGCTTTTTTCTTTCTGTTTATTTAACCTTATGCTGCTGCAGATCTGTACCACATGTAAAGTGTTGCAAAAATGTTCCAGATAAGACGCCTCGTGTGGCTTTTAGGTAAAATATTAACACATGAAGTCATCTTTATTTTTACAACAAGGTTCGCGCTGGAACGGTCTTGTTTTTCAGCGAGCATTTGTGTGTAACCCACATAAAATGAGGGTACCACTTTAAGGAGTGGTACCCTAAAGTCCTGATACGGGTACCACTCCTTACCACTTTAAGGAGTGGTACCCGCTGTATGTCTCACCCACCTGCACTCTGTTCGCTGCTATGTGTGGAGGTAGTCGCGTGCTGGCAGGAGAAAAGAGAGACTGAGGTTTTTGAGTTGGAAAGAGTATTAGATAAAAGTTTGTAACCAACTGTGCTGCACATAAGTTTCATGTTAAAAGTAGCCAAAGTGAGTAAACAGGCGAATGCTGCAGTTTTCTGGCGACTTTAGAAAGTACCGCTGGAGCTAAACTGTTAGCCTTTGTTAGCTCTGGTTGTTATCAACTGCCTGAAAGTTTATCTCAATCTGCTTCCAGAAGTAAGGTAACACTTGAAGCGCAATGAATGTTTATTTTCTTTCACGTCGTATTACTATCACTAAAGAGAAAAAAAAAACATGTCCTGTTACGTTATTTAGAGCCCCGCATTTTCCGACCGAGAGACACCATACCATTGTCTTCGGCCGTGATGCACTGAGATCGGTGAGCACATATTGTATGTCTCAGTTTAAGTCTGTTTTGGATTTTATTGTTGAGAAACTGAATTTATCTGAATTGTTTGATTAATAATTGTTGCATATGCAATAACTTTACTTAGTTTGGTTATACGCAAAAATTTCCCCGTTGTGGGATCAATAAAGTCTTATCTTATACGTTGTAATGTTTTCATATTATATTTGAAGAAGTGTTTTGCAATGTACAAATAAGAATATTGACAATATATTGCAGTAATGCATAGTTTGTGTAAGAGAGATGTTTTATTTTTGCAAATTTTTGCAAAAAAATGTTTTTTTTGTGTGTTCCTGGGGTGGATTCCTCCGGTGAAATAGATGGCGAGCCTTCTCACCTGGACTTAGAGAGACTGAGATTCGCTTCTTTTCCACTTGATGATCTGCTGCACCTTGTGGTGTGGTAGGACTGTATCACTCACACTTTCACGCACAGCTGGTTATACATAAGACCACTGACTGACATTCTCTCACCCCTATTTTCTTTCACACCCTGGGAAAGAAAATAGGGGTGGACATTTTTTATTTGGGACTTTAAATAATAAGCTGTTGTGTAGAACATCCTCCACATGTGAAAAGAGTGTGAGATTTTCAATTGAATGTATATTGGATTTGTGTAATCTGTTTCTATAAGGAGTTAAGGAGTCGGGTTACTAGGGTGCACCCGAGCATTGAAACCCAACATTGAAAACCAAAAGTGACACTTGGCCAAGCCATTGTCTTAGTAGGTGTTTTACTTTTCTTTCATTTTTTGTAAGTTTCTTTTCTACAATTGTAAAGTGCCTTTAACCTGTGCTTGTCAATCTTATGGTTTATTTCACTAAAGTCGGTTGGTTCTTTTGAGTTACATTCTTGTCTCTGTGTCTCATTTAAACACACCCCTGTGCTCCTATAGTTGAACCTATTGGCCCATTTATATATTCTTTTCAACAATTCCCCTTACTGTGTTACATGTGAGATGCAGGGATCACATACATTCGGCCTCCTGATGACACTCACCATTTTCCCTCGCTGTTCTCAAACTGCTGGACAGTGTAGCCGAACATGTCTTCCAGCGGTCCAGAGAAGGACAAACTGTTCTTCTGGTCCACGTTGAAGGAGAACACGCAGGTCAGCAGCACTGCAAAGATAATAGTAGAGAAAAGGTTACGCATGATAAGACTCTCGAGAGCAGCGCTGCTTTACTTGCTGTTTGAGTCTGCTGTGCTGCTCTTCAGAGTGGGTTTACATAAACTGATGGACAAATACTGAAACAAAAGATGTGCGTATGCAGTTATTTCTAAGTGCAGAAGCCATAAACACTCAGTAAATATTTCTGAAAACCCTCAAGATGCCTCTTGGAAATGAAAAAAAAAAGAGATCTACTAAAATACTTTGTAAATGTAATAAATAAAAGTTAGCATTTAGGTATTTTAGTTACAGCAAATATAAATAATTCTATTTATGTCAATATTATTTACGGGTGCATGAAAATGATGTACCCAGATGAGGGCCGAACTTTGTGAACCACAGACACGCACACAGACACACACAGTCATTCTGGAAGAGGAATTTCGAACATCAATGTGAGCCATTTTGGTCAGGGTTCAATCTGACCTCCAGGACAATGGCTTCTTCTCTGCACTCTGCCCAGTCTGGGTCTGTCTGTCACTGAGATGAGTATATCACAGAGCCTCTATATAAATCCATCCATGTCTCATTGTGCCTGCACCACAATGACACTCTTTATATCTACTGTGCCAGGAAATTCCTTCAATATAATTTATTCAATTCCCGGACCTTTGAGGGAGTGTAGAGGAGTAGAAGAACAGTGGGATTAAAAACAGAATGTGCAAAGGCAGACTGCATACATAGACACACAAGGATAAAGCAGCTATTTATCCTTTGATGGTAATGCTTTGTAGCTAATGTGTCTGAGAACTACATTAAAAGGTCTAGACTGAAGTAATTTTACATCTTTTAGCAACACCCCAGAATTGATTATGTTTGATGGTTTATCCACCAGATATTTCAGTGTGGTCCACATAGCAACATCCCAGACGGATTGCTTTGATATTTAGAAGAGACATTCACGAGCTCCAGAAAATGAATGAATGTTCTTACTCAGTCAATAAAACATCCCTGAATCTACACAATTTATTCTTCTGATTAAAAGCTTAAAATGATTACAGTAGCATCTAAAAGAGAGTCCTGTGAAAGTACACCCCGTGATTTAGCAGCTTATATGATTTTATCAGGACCTTTCCATGGTTGTGGATGAATTTTGACTCTTCTTTACAGCGCTGCTTCAGTTTAGTGACGTTTGCAGGCATTCGTTTATTTGTTTATTCACAACTATCTTAAGGTCCCGCCACGGCATTTCAGTCAGGTTGAAGTCTGGACTTAGACTGAACCACTGCAACATCTTCACTCTTTTCTTTTTCAGTCATTCTGCTGTGGATGTTATCATTTTCCTGTGGCATGACCCAGTTTTGGTCAAGCTTTATCTGTCGGACAGATGTCTTCATTGTTGACTCTAGAATACTTTGCTCTTCAGAGAAGATCATGGTTGACTCAAAGACTGCAAGGTTCCCGTCCTATGGCCACAAAACAAGCACAAATCATCACCCCTCCACCACCGTGCCTCACAGTTGGTTTGTGCTGCTATGAGTTTGGTTTTTGCATTGTGCATTATGGACAAAAGTCTTCACTTTGGTCTTGTCTGTCCAAAGGATATTGTTCCAGAGGTCTTATTCTTTGTTCAGATGTAACTTTACTGCCATGTTCTTTTTAGAGAGACAGAAGTTAAAGTTTTTCACATAGGGCCATATAGGTTTGGCCTTTTTCTCCCTTAAAAATAAACACCTTCATTTAGAAACTACATTTTGTGTTTACTTGTGTTATATTTGTCTAATATTTAAATTTCTTTGATGATCTGACGAAAATGGGAAATCAGGAAGGGAGCAAACACCTTTTCACACCAGTGTAAAGACAATTTGGAATATCTGATATATACAAAATTATTCTGCATACAGTTGGGTCAAAGTAGCTACAGAGCCCACTTCAAGAGACCATTTAATTCGACTGTAAAGTAAAGAGTTTTTATATACTGCACTAGGAAGCTGACTTATTTTGGGAGCCAGCGTCTAGTGGTCACTCAAGGAACTTTTCTTTTTCTTCAGCACTGGCTTAATATTTCAGCTGAGGTTGTCTCTTGGCTCCATGCATTCAAATGTGCTTACTGGCTTACTAAAATCACAAACTGCTGAAAAGGTGGAGTGGTCTCTTGTGCATATTAACAACACAAGAAAGCCACAGAGAGCAATACATGCAGGGATTAGCATATGTAAGCATCAATCTCTGTAATCAGAGCAGTTGTAAAACTGCTAGTCACGTTTAAATGTCGATCATTTAGATTTCATATAAGATTTCACTTTTTAAATTTCCAGAGACCACAAAGGAGGCCTGCTGAGTCATATACAGGAACCCCAGATGAGAAGTATTATCCCTTCTGTTTCTCCCTCAGTCATTTCTGTACTTCCTCTGTGACCCCCTTTCCAACTCTCAGAGAAGCTCAATTTCCTTTTCCTATTAACCTGATTATACACATCCCCACAAATCCAAAGGTACACACGCACACACGGACACACAGCTAATTTAGCTGATTTAAGATGGCTTCAGGCCAACCAGGCCTTTTCATTCATCACAGACTGAGCTCAAGTACAGTTCAGAGTCAAACCGGCCTAAGTTGTAAATCACTTAGGAACATCATTTGTCCACTGACAGGCACATACTTTGTGTATACCAATCTCATTTTGCTGTATTGGGTGTCTCCTGGCTCTACTCTCTTCAAATCAGAACCAGTGAAGTTATATAACTGTCTATTTTTGTGAGATGGGCTAACATCTGCCCTGGAAAACCAATAAGCAGTCTTGTCCCTCTGTGGATGGAAATGGCCACATGAGTGTCTGAGGTACTGGCATATTTGTCCATCACTGCTGGAAGGTTCATAATGTACTCAGTCACACATGAGCGTGTATGGCACATCAGTTCATCCTGACTGAAATATCTCAACAACTCCTCAATGGACTCCCATGAAATTTTGTGCAGACACTCATGGTCCCCAGGGGAAATAAAATACTTGCTAAGGTCAAGCTGCGACTTTCCTTTAAGCATGACACTGATCATTGTGGTTTAAGTGAAATGTGTCAAAAATGACTAATTTAGACCCCCTTCAGGATGTAATGTTCTGACTGCAAAAAAGAACAGAATTAAGTAAGATGTAGGTTTGAGTTGTAAAAGTAAAGCCAATGCAGAAGTGCACTGACTCTTCTTTCCTTTTCATGGGATTATGGGTGACTCCGGTTGCAAACAGACTTCTGGATGTAGGTCTATAAGTCTATGGGAAAATGGCCCTTGCTCTTTGACCTCAGTAAACACTTTCTTGATTACTTTATGACACCAGTTGCTACTTTCAAGTCATACTGAATAAAACAGGAAGTTCATTTTGTAAGTTATGGTCATTATCCAGAAATGGGAATTATCGAGGGTTTAATGACTTATCAGTCGCTAGCCAATAAGCAAGCAGTGTCACTGTCAAACTCAACTTTACCTCATCAGATATGGTTTCAAAAAACGTTGAAATGCCAGAAACAGTAAGCTTAACAAACTTTGCTTGAGCCTTTCTCCAACAGTAACTGACATATATATACAGTATATACAACTAGCAGAACATCTTTACAGCGTAAATGGTAGGAAATACAGGCTTAGCTTCCTGGTACATTTAAAGGGAAAGAAAAATAAAGCCACTACAGATGTGTCTTTAACCTGTATTCTTTTCTGAAGGCCACCATATGGTGACAGCAAAAAGCAAAACCCCCTTTTAAATAGTTTATAGGTTGGCTTAAAAATGGTAACAAGCTAATTTCTCCTTGGCATTTTTGTACAACTTACCAGTTTCAAGGCAGTAACATTTAAAGTGGCCACTTCAAGTGATGGATGCTTGCTTTTACATCTTGCTGAACATTCAACCCCTTTAAAAGAGCAGTCAGTTGGGCATTACTTTCTGGCAAGTACATTCATTTTAAGCCTATTTGTCAATGGCTAAATTTAGCATCCCATTAAGTATCACAAGAGAACAATGGAAGCACCTTGCTAATTAAGCTAGCTAGCCAACTAGCTACTTTTGGTCTTCCATCCAACCTTTTGTCCATTTTCTGTCATTTAACATGGTCCAGGCCCAATGTACAAACAAATATATGATGTGATAGTGATTACAAACATCTTTTACTGTTTATAGATAGATAGTACTGAGCTTAAAGCAGCATGCTGTCCTTCCATAAACAAAACTGACAGTGCATTTTAACTTTAAGACAATTTCCCTTTGTTTTGTGTTCATAATCATTCTGACTGTTGGGCTCTCCACACTACAAAAACAGCAGAGGCCCACAGCGTCTCTGAACACATCCAAAAAAGCCAAAAAATCTGCATGTCATTTATCAAAATGGAAATCATGCTGACCAGAAATGTCTAATCTAAGTTGGTTTGAATACTGTGTTCAAAGTGATATTATGGGTCTGTTTTCAGTCAAGGACCACGTGGTCCTGATTGATCCCGGCAGTCTGTCAGCCACACAATAAAACCCCACTGCTCTCTCTGCCACAGTTATCAAAACCAAAGGAAAATCAAAAGACTTTGCTGCTGATACAGCGAGTGCAGAAAGCCGCACCCGCTGACCTGTGAGACATCACTCAACTTAGCACCTGTAGGCTTCAAAGCTTGGCTCAGCTATGGTTAAAAATCTGCATCCCATTGTCACCTGCTCATCTGTAACATATCTAACCATCTATAAAGAGCTTTAAAGCTTAATGCAAATCACCAGCTCTGGGAAACAAAATCATGAAGTGGGCCTGACATTCGACCTTAATTAAATGCGGTGAGAAATCAGTTGTTAAGTTGATCCAAGACAGACAGTCAAAACAAATCTTCGAAAAAGAAAGCAAGCAAACATCTGCAGAAACTAGAAAAAAGTTCATGTCGTGTTGAACTGAAGACTGAACTGGTGCATTTGTCATTTATGGCGTTGACCCTTCAAAGGAATAATGTCAAAAGGGGCTTTGGGTGGGACTCAGACCTTTTCTAAAACCACATGCTGGCATTTAACAAGAGACAACACTGG